ACTGAACCATATTATGGAATAGAAAATAGGCCAAATGCAACATTCAAATTACATAAAAAGGTCTTTAAAAAACTGATAAACAAAGGCATCCAGAGGGAGGTCATGGGTAGAAAACTGGCACCTTAGGACCACATAAAGAACATTGTGTGAGGAGCCTGTGCAACACTTTCCTATTCCAGAATGGCATGTAAGTACTGTACATGGATGGCAAAATATTACAGAAATTGTTAATAATTTGTGTGTGACCAAAATTGGAATATGCAGTAGTTATATGATGCCCATATCTTAAGTAGCACATCAATAAACTCGAAAAGGTGCAAAGACATACAGCTAAAATCTTCTTGAACTGAAAAACAAGAGCTATGTGAAGAAGTTAAGGGTGCTAAATATGACAAAGATAGAAGGTATGAGCAAAAGAGGTGATGATATGATCCTACATACCTGCTTGATGGGGTTCTGGGAGTTCTACTCCCCAAGCCCGGCCCAAGGCCAGGCTTGACTTGTGAGAGTTTGGTCCACCAGGCTGTTGCTTGGAGCGGCCCGTATGCCCATACACCCACCACAGCCCAGTTGGTCCGGTACTCCTTGAGGGAAAACTATCCAGTTTTCTCTTGAAGACGTCCACGGTTGTTCCGGCAATATTTCTTATGTTCGCTGGGAGGATGTTGAACAACCGTGGACCTCTGATGTTTATACAGTGTTCTCTGATTGTGTCTATGGCACCCCTGTTCTTCACTGATTCTATTCTGCATTTTCTTCCATATCGTTCACTCCAGTACGTTGTTATTTTACTGTGTAGATTTGGGACCTGGCCCAAAGTTGGGAAAAAAAACTTTTGCAAACAGAGTGGTAAATGGCTTGAACAAGTTTAGTGGGGTGGTGGTCGATGCGAAAACCGTCAGTAGTTTCAAATCGTCATATGACAGAGTACTAGCAAGATGGGACTCAACGAGTGTAGCTCTCATCCTTTAACTACATTTAGGTAATTACATGGAAAACCTGAATTCTTGTGAGTAGCTCTAATTTATAGTTCATCATATTTTGTCTGTTGGAGATTTTCATGTCAAAATGCAATGTATTATTCAAGAGGACAGGTTGATCTTGCAGGGTATGCCTGTCGTTCCACCAGTAGGATATCTCTTGCAGAATTGGCCTTTGTCACTACATGTGATGCTGGACACTCCTTGCCCTATCCGTCCTCTTGCACTTGTTATTTATTTAGATTATTCAGTTCATTCAATATCCTTCGTCAAATTTTGTAGAAATGTGGTTTGAAAAAATTGTGGAATATTAAACAGGGCAATTTCATATATTTTTATACTGTATTAAGTTACAATGTTGAATTTTGGCTGGTTGTAGCTTCATACAATAGTAATAATTTACTTTTGAATTCTAGACTTGATGGAATTACTTCCCACGTTATCATTAGTTTAGCGAGGACCACTTTTGAATATTCTGTGGATAAATTTGCATACAAATAGGAGTTTTTATCACATTCTAATTAAATTGCACACTTTTTTATACAGTATATGAACTCGTTCAAAATTCGGACGGGTAAATGAGGCCAAAGGAAGTGTGGATGTTTACTGTGGTGGCGGGACTTTAGCATTGCATAATGATAATGTAACTATTTCTCCAATTTAAGGCAGGATCGGTACACGAGTAATATATTTTTTTGTTACGTGCAATAATGGCGAATGCAGCATTGAGACCCTAGTATGTACACACTGAAGCTACTTTAAAAACATTTTGATATACAGTAGTAGAGTGCTTAGCCTAGCAAAGTCACGTACACCACGGCCAGGTTCATTTTACAATTGGAAATGGAAACTTCTTATTCTAATGTGTCTAGGTATTTTTTTTTATCTTATCAAACCTAATGTATTTTAATGTTTTTATTTTATCTATTCATATACGAGAAGATAGTGGGATTTTATGGGAGTACATATACTGGTTGGTGCGTAGTACATTCTTGCATAATTTATAAACGTGCAAGCTAGACAATAACCTTGAGAAAACAAAAAGTTATAGGTAAATGTAACATTTGGCTCCATGATTATTATTGGTTGTTGTATAGACTTTGACAAGTTAAAAGGGTAACTCCATTGGTAGCCATGAATGAACTTGGTTGGTGAATGGTTATTGTGAGTGTTCCTAAATATTCAACACTAGCAATGTGTCAAAATTTGGACTTTGATACAGAATATGAAAAAAAGATAATTGCGATGGTTCTTTCTGGAGATGTATCATGGCAAATGAAAAATATTGAAGAGCAGGAATGACAAAAGTTGCTGTTTTTTTCCAAGTTTCTCAGAAATATTATTAATGTACCCCAATAAGTTTGTTAACAGTACACTGTGACAGGATGGGAAAGGGGGGGGAGTGCAATTTGTTTATCTGTAGTTTACCTGTTGTTAATTCCAAGAGCTGTGTTCCTGGAGGGCTGTTGTAAACCCACATATTCTGTGCTACCTGGCTGATGCGGTACTTCCTGCAGGAACTTGCCCAATTACCTCTTTTAAACCTGTACAGTACTTGAGTTTGGCAAGATTTCTTAAATTTAGTGGGAGGAGGTTGAAAAGCCAAGGCCCTCTGATGTGCAGGACACAGCACAGACTGTAGGAGGGGACATGTGGTACAGAGAGACACAGCAAGAGGGGACATGTGGTACAGTGAGAGACAGCAAGAGGGGACATGTGGTACAGTGAGGGATAGCAGGGAGGGGACATGTGGTACAGTGAGAGAGAGCAGGAGGGGACATGTGGTACAGTGAGAGACAGTAGGAGGGGGATGTGGTACAGTGAGAGAGAGCAGGAGGGGACATGTGGTACAGTGAGAGACAGCAGGTAAGAGGACATGTAGTATAGTGAGAGGGAACCAGAGTTGAGAGCATGTCTGGAGAAACGTAAATCTGAATAAGGTTTCAATAGTATAATACTGATGAGTATAACCTTAAACCATAACAAGTGGTTTCACTTGCAGCTGAGCTGATCCCTTGCTTCATGGCGAGTGGCAAGGGATCGGCTCAGTTGCAAGTGAATTCCCTTAGCTACCCTTTTATTACCCCTTCTCATTCTTTGCTGCTGCATGGCTTCTAATGTGTTTCTCCCAATTTGGTCTTTTCGTATCTTTCCCAACCGCCACCTCTGTTGTTTTCCAATTTGGCTTTTTCATATTCCTTCCCTATCCTTCTATCTGGCTTTATATCCCTTGTATCCCTTCCCCCCTTGAGGTTTCTTATACCCACTATTTCTTGACCCCCCGCCTTTGTTGGCACTCCACCCTACCTACCTACCTCCCCTCTCTCCCTCCCTCCTTCCCTCTCACCCCTCCATTAATCATCTCATTTCCTCATAGACTGCTTGCTGCTGTGTCATGGCACATCATCTCGCAGCACTCTGTCCCAGCAGGTAGCCCTACCCCCCCCCATTCCCTACTACACCACGTGCCCCTCCACCACCATGTCCTCCCCCCATGCTACACCACGTGTCTCTCCACCACCACGTCCTCCCCCCCCCCCATGCTACACCACGTGCCCCTCCTCCACCACGCCCTCCCCTCCCCCACGCTACACCACGTGCCCCTCCTCCAGCCCCCCCCCCCCACACTACACCACGTGCCCCTCCTCCACCACTCCTCTCCCCCCCCCCAACGCTACACCACGTCCTCCCCTCCCCCACGCTACACCACATTGCCTCTCCACCACCACAACTGTCTTCATATTCTGCCTCACAACAGTTGCATCTGTCTTTGAATATCTTATTCTATTACCATTAGGCTTTTTTCTAGTGTGGAGTTTTTAACGTCATTTCCACTTGTTTTGTTCTAGATTTGATTATACAATACCCGAAGAATTGTTTTTAATTTTTATTGATCAAGGATATAATGGAGGAGTTGGTAATGGAGGTAAAAAATCATTAGCCAAGTTACTTGGATAGCTAAACAAAAGGCAAGGTGCTAATTTAGCAGTGCTTACCTATCAGTGATTACGAGGAAGTGAAATCTAGTGCATTATGCTACCTCCTAGCCATTTATACCTGGTGCACTAATTGCTTCTCTTAAAATTAATGAAGTTTTTCAAATTTTTCTCAAAGTTGTGGAAGGAATTGGCTTTGACAACCTCTTCAATGTATTCCTTTTGCCAACCACCCATACAAAGTACTGTACAAGAGTTTCCTGACATCTCCACAACTTGATAGCATGCCCAGCTTCCACAGAAGTCCTCTTGTCTTACTTCCTTCTAATTTAAATAGGCTTCCTTTGTCCACACGGTCTATTCCCTTCAGGATCTTGCACGTAGGTATTTGGAAAGATAACATAAGGGGAAAGTTAGTGAATCATGGGGTGTGTGTATTTGGTTTGCAGGATACACTGAGTGATGCGTACAGTGTGTGTTTTATTAAGGAATTGATTCTAAAATCCATAAATAAATAAATACAAAATTCAGAATACTGGACTGTTTTGTTCTCTAATAATTGTTCATGGTGTAATTAATGCTTGGCATGAAAATATTGGCCAAATTTTAGAGCTTGGCTTGACAGGAAGGCAGAAAAATATATCATTTGCAGTCTCCAAATGATAGTTTTGCACAGGTGGAAATCCTTGAGAGATCTCCAAATGTAAATAATTTTTATATATTGTACAGCAATATGTATTCAGCTTTACACGAATTCTTCAGTTACAGTACTAAATAGAATTTTAGTTGACATGCATAGGATAAGCAATCTTTACTTATACCTGTAGTGTATTTACTTTAAAGTAATTTATGCTTGCTGGGACTAGTTATTGACTTTATCTTCCTGAGGAAAATAAAGCAATTGTGTGCCTGCCCTTTGGGGCTAGGGGCTCTAGACAAATAAGGCAAGTTGCCGGTAGAAAGTCTGTTAAACACATTTGCAGCTACAGTACCCTAATTATCCAGTTTTTTAATAATTTTATAATTATTTTGTTGTTGCAGTTGTCACGTGTGTGTTACATGTTGCTATGTTTGGACTTTACAGGTAAAGATGGCAACAAGATCACGACAGTTATTGCCACCCCGGGTCAGGGCTCAGATAGACCTCAGGAGGTATCCTACATGGACACGAAAGTCATTGGCAATGGCAGTTTTGGTGTGGTGTTCCAAGCCAAGCTGTGCGAGACTGGGGAGCTCGTCGCCATCAAGAAGGTGCTGCAGGACAAACGCTTTAAGGTCAGTTGATATCTGCTGCATATGGCATAAAAAAATAGGCTTAAACCTAATCAAAATTCATGAAGTTTTATATACTGTAGCAGTTCTCTCTGTTAGTATATGTATATTTTAGGTTGTATTAATTTCATAAATCAGTAGGGGTGGTACTGTTCATTTAGCTGGAGTGGTGGGGAGTTACCTGGCGGTTACCGTGTGATGATTTCGGGGCTCAACGTCCCCTCGGCCCGGTCCCCAACCAGGCCTCCTGGTTGCTGTACTGGTCAACCAGGAGTGATGGTGGTGGTTTTAAATGTCTGGATAATATTAGACTAGTGAAGAGAGTGCATTTTGATGAATTTGAGGGTGGGAGGAGGCCCAAGAAGACATTGGAAACCATAGATGTGAGTAAGTAGGGATTATATGTGAACCATACAGGAAATTTGGTAATTATCATACCTGTGACAGTTTATGAGAGTAAATATTTTGTTTGTACTTATATGGCAATTTGTGATTAGCACAGTTACACCTGGGGAAACAATATAAGGTATAAAAGACTAAAGATATGTAACATTGACATATGGCCTTTTGCAGAGTTTTTAACCACACAGCATCATAGAGAACTGGCATCACTCACTAGCACATCACCCAAAGCACCACTCCACCATGACAGTTACAGACTAGCAGGGATTGTAAATCTGGGTACAGTGTACTTTGTTTCTGCAAGGGGAAACAAAGTTCCCAAGTGAGCCACAAACACACTATAAATTATTTTTTCACTCAAGATAGTGAATAAATGGAATGAACTAAGAAGTAAAGTGGAGGAAAATTATATACATAGATTTAAATGTACGTATTGCAGTGCAATAGGAACCCATATATCAGCTGATTAAGGGTTGAGAGGTGTGACCCAAGAGCCATAGCTCATACCTTGCAAATACAAATAGGTGGGTAAAACTAGGCAAGTACTTCATAAGACTTGACTTGTAGTGCTTCTTGTGAATTGACACAATGGCATACTGTACAAACATTCACTCGCTCTTCACCATCTGCTGCCACTTAGCCTTATTCATTTCCACTTCTCGTGTTCTCTCTACACTGGGGCTGCCATCTCACACACTTACCATGAATGTCCATCTGCTTGACCTTCCTCTCGCCCTCTTTCTGTCAAATCAATTCGAACACACACCTCACTAGTCCATCATCATTCATGATTAACTTGATTCAACCTCAGTATACACTTCTTCAATTTTGCAATTATAATGGCTTGCAATCTTTCCTTAGCTTTTTCAAATTTACTCTACCCCAGCACCACTCACATTCTCCTTGTGTGTGGTGCCATATCTACTGTAACTTTGGGATTTAATTAGTTGGCCTAATGCCACCAAATGCCACACAAGTGTCTCCTCTGTCCATACATCATCGCACTCCTTCATACACCTCTCTGATCACATCACTGTTTATCTTGTTTCCCCTCCCTGATGCACCCTGCTGCCACCTTGACTTGCCCAAATACATTTTTCATATAAAAACTTGCATTTAAAATTATAGCAGTTTCCAGAACTTCTTGATTCATAATAATTTCATGGCAATGACAGATTTACAATCTACTATATGTGGTGCATTGAAGAGGTTTGAAGGTATAGTCCAGCATTGCACTGGGTTCTGGGTCTCTTACCATATTTTGTAAGGTTGCTTCAAGATCTGTTATGGTTATTAACAGATTTTTATTCTGGCTGCAACACAGCATGTCCCTGTTACATATATCATCCTGCTAATGATTAATCTAGTGTTGTGGCTGTTCTGTAATATTGTAATACTGATAGGAATAATAATATAATATTGTATAATACTACTACTACTACTAATAATAATAATGAGAAATCCACTGGGACTATAGGTGGGAGCGAACCTATGACCCCAGCATTGCCAGTCATGTACTCTACCTCTAGACCACCGCTGAATTTGTAAAATGGCATATAACCGGATTCCAACTAAAATCACATGAAGTCTGAAGCCAGTCCAAGTTTTTATGTATGACCCACAAGCACTCGGGTGAAAGGGCAAAGTGGTGGTCTAGTGGTACAGTACAAGCCTGGCATTGGCGGGGTCGTAGGTTTGCGCCCACCTATAGTCCCAGTGTATTTTCTCATTGATATATCACATTACATAATGTGATTTCTGTGTTAATAATACTGTAATGTAAATAATGACAGAACGTGGACAATATCCATGTACTGCATATACAGAATGGTGAAGAACTTGTAAACAAATTCTAAATGTTAAGTTTGGCCGATAGGTGTGATGCTTTCTCTATGTGATGTGTCTGGTGTTGATGTGGTGGTCAGCAGAATTGTCAAAGTGATAATTTCCTGCATTAAGAATATTCCTGTATTTTTATGGGTGACTATATCTGCTTGTACCTGGATGTTGTTTTGGGAATTCATGTATTGTACTCCCCAAGTCTGATCCGGGGACAGGTTTGACTTACCAAACGGGTCCAATAGGCTGTTGCTCGGAGCAGGCCGCAGGCCCACATATCTAATACAGTACTGTACCGTACAGCCCAGTTGGTCTGGCACTTTTTTGCAGAAAATTGTCCAGTATTTTCTTGACTTCCACTTTTGTTCCAGCAATATTTCTTATACATATTTGCTGGGAGGTATTGAAAAACTGTGGTCCTGTATATTCTATTAGTTCTTCCTGGTAGCCCATTCAGTTACTTATACCAGCTCACCTCGTGTTGGTTCTGGGGATTAATGTCTCCACAGCCGAGTCTCTGACTAGACCTCCTGTTTGGTGGTCTGGTCTACCAGGCTGTATAAATGCAGCTGCTTACAATCTGTTGTATGAATCACAGCTGTGTTGGTTAAGTATCCAAATTATATCCTGTGTGTGGGCTCGAATGGATGAGCATTCTGGCCCCTGGCAGCAGACCCAACACACTGATCATGAGTAATATCAGCAGGTTTAGAGCTTGTACTCTTTTTATTATCCAACCCTATTCTCCACTGCATCTTGTTTATAATTCACACACTTTCAGTCTTCTTCCTGCTAATATAAGAAGTATTGCCAAAACAAAAAAATGAAATTTTCAGGAGGGAGTTGGATAAGCTGTTTTTGCAGGAAGTTCCAAATTGGCCAGGCAGTGATGGATATGTGGGTCTTCAGACTGCTGTCAGCAACAGCTTTACTAAAAATATCCATACTCCTGGTCAGGCCACTGGAGTAAAAGTCTCTGCTTCTTACACACACGCACGCACGCGTGCATGTTTGCCGTGTTTGCCCATTTTCTTAGTCATCTTTACCTCTTGAAATTCATTAACTCGTACAAATTATCTCAGGCACTCTTATCATTCATTCATTCAATTTGACCAAATTATCTGGATACACTTTCCTCAATCTAATGAATTATCAACTTTTTCACTCCATTTCTTTCAATGAGATTATCATTGATTTTTCTAAAGCATCTCAGGTTGTTAATTTCTACTGTTCTTACTATTCAATTTGTTAAGACTTATGCCATGCCTACATCTTTCTTTCATACATAAGGCTTTACAACTTCTTTGGCTTCAATCACTCACAATTATAGCCTTCCAAATCAGTAATTTAATTTCACTTCGCACTTGCCTTCCCTGGCTAAGTGTTCTGCACAAGTGCATACTTTGTCATATAGAGATCCCAAGGTATTATTTCATATTCAGAACTTCCTGCTCCACCATCATTACATTACTTTTGTCTTTATCAACTTTCTTGCAGTCTTGTCTCACATTGGCCTACATCAATGAAACTAATTTCTTTTTACATCTTATTAATTTCCTGTCAGAAGAACTGTATTATGTGCATGCAATGATTTGGTATTCAGCACTCTGTTTACACTGCACCTCCCCCCCCCCCTTTCCCTGGCTGTCTTCATCACAACACAGTCCCCAGACTCTCAGCTCTGCTGTCCTGAGTATCCACGGTGTGTGTTGCAGACTGGGTGGTAGTGTGATGATGATGCTTACTTGTGTTATATACATGCTTACAGGGTATTGGGATATAATAGTTCTTCAGGTAAGTGTGTATAAAGGCTAGCCAGTGTGTGTGCCTGTAAAAGATCTAAGCTTTCCCGTTGAGTTTAGCTCTGAGCTCTTAAAGCATTCCCATTTCTTCCCAGCTCTCTATAGTACATTGCTACTGACAAGTATTGCTGTAATACATAGGGTCCATCTGGCCGTTTCATCAGCACACAGTCAGTTTCAGTACCTCCAATTCTTCTTTTGGCTGCTCCCTTGCTTTCTCTTCTCTCTTGTCGGTAGTAGACAGGGGTTAACTTTGGCTACTCGGGCTCCACCTCAAACTTTGTGCAGGATGTGGGCCATTGGATCTGTAAACCTTGTGGTAGCGTCCCCACGGCCTGGTCCTCGAACAGGCCTCCTTTATGTTACACATCCCCAGGAAGCAGCCCATAGCAGCTGTCTAACTCATTGGTACCTATTTACTGCTAGGTGAACAGGAGCATCAGGGTGAAAGAAACTGTCCATTTGTTTCGCCTCCACCGGGGATCGAACCTGGAACCTTAGGACTACAAATCCTGAGAACTGTCCACTCACCCGTCAAGCCCAACTAAATAGTGATGGCTTAACAATATTATAACAATTGGGTAAATAACCATAATTGTTAGCAGATAGGATGAAACTAAACAAAAAAATATGTATATCTATGTATATAATGCACCTGAATGGGAGTCGACTCTGCAGATACAAGACATTTAACTAAGGAATTGGACAAGTAGAAGTTCACCAAGCCCAAAAATTGTGTTACTAATAGTATTGCTAATAAAATATAATATTAAAAAACAAGTCTAAATGTTACAATCTATTAGTACAGACTTAGAACAAATTGGTCGATGTAAATAATGGTTTATCGTAGGTTACATTAAAGGTTAACAGCAGAGGGAAGCTGACATCTTGCTGTACATCTGTACCTCATTTTCAGCATATGTGGTCTACACCAGATATATATATATGATACTTTATTTT